AATGATAAGACACTGACAAGCCTGAGACCTCGATGGTATCTTCAATCATCTGAAGTCGTGCCTCAGCAGAACCGGGCCGTGAGACCCTTGCTGGAATGCCAGTGAGACGCTAACTTCCGTTGGAGTTGTCCGAGTACAGGTCGATTGTCCGTATAGACCTCAATCGACTGCTTTCCCGTCATGCTAGGGCTCGGCGCCAAGACAGAACTAGAGTATTGAGCCCTTTCAAGACTGCTTCTAGTTCGACCACGTCGATGGGCCGGATGTCTCCGAGTTTTCGTAGCCAGGAGACATCCTTGACGTAGGTAGAGCCGAAATACAGGCAGGCCCCTAAGCCTAGGTCAGAGGCATCGCAATACAATCGCCATGTGGACCCAGCATCGACAGTAAATTTACCAGTAGCTGGATCACCACGGGAAGAGATATCACGATGTAGTGCCTCGCATTTCCGCAGAATGTTCTGCGAGAGGTGTGTGGACTTGGATGCAGAAGGATTCTCGAGGTGAGCAATCCGTTCCAAGCCGCGAGCCGCTGGCCGTAACCATCGCAAAACCGGGTAGTGTGAACACGCTAAGGTCGCTACCCACGATTTGAGATGGTGGTAAGTTTCTCCCTGTATGGGACCGAGCGGACTGCGGCGAGTCCACATGTTGCCGGAAATACGTTGCAAACCGAGAATACGAGCTGTCTCGGCCTCCTCGGGTTCTTTCAGGCTGAACCCATTCTGTTCGAGAGCCTTGACGACATTATCCAGCTGTGACTTGGGTACGCGCAAGTCGTCGAAATAAGGCTCGACACCTCCGTCGATTCCAGCCTCTGCTAGAATGAAGTCAATGACGGAGCGGAGGACCTTTGGAGCAATTGACACCCCAAACGCAAGGCGGGTCAACTCCCAGTATGTGCGACTACCATCGTCCTCAATCAGGGTGATACCCTGATAAATGGAGCACTCAGGGTGCATATGAATACACATATATGCTTTTTTGATGTCCATGAGTACCCACGATTCGGTAAGTCGTCCGGCATTGGAGTAGCCTGCTCGCCATCGGCGTAAGGTTGCTCCACAGGTAACGTGTCCAGTCTCGTTCGGATACGACACCAAACCAGAATTAACTGGCTTGAAGTCGAGAACAGGTCTTACTGGAGTGGACGATTTGTGGGGTTGTGAATTAAGATCAAGGTGATGGAAGAGCGGAGCTCTTCACGGTTCACCTGACGAATAAAACCCCAGTCTTGCCACAGTTTGAGTTCCGCCCTCCAGAGCTTGTG